TGTACTTGCTGCCTCTGCCCAAAATTCTTTTGGTAAATTCTTCTCATATAGCATGCATCTCGTCATCTCCAAGATGTATCGGTTTCTCCTCTCACTAACCCCATTTTGTTGTGGGGTATAGGGAGCGGTTAGTTGATGTTCGATGCCGGAATCCTCACAAAATTGATTGAATTTTTTAGATGTGTACTCAGTGCCATTGTCTGACCTCAAAATCTGAATTTTGAAACCAATTTCGTTCTCAACCTTGGCTTTGAACTTCCAAAAGATTCCAGCCACCTCTGATTTGTTCTTGAAGAAAAAAATCCAACACATTCTAGTAAAGTCATCAATGAAGAGAACATAATAAAGATTACCTTTCAATGAAGGTGTTCTTTGCGGCCTTGCAACATCTGTGTGAATTAATTGCAGCTTCCTTGATGCTCTCCATGCTGTTTTTGAAAAAGGTTTTCTGTTTTGCTTGCCAAATTGACAAGCTTTGCAGTTTGAAGTTTGATCCTCAAGCACCGGAATATCAAGTGCTAGCCCTTTTTCACTCATTTGCAGTAGTCCTTGATGATGATAGTGCCCGAGTCTCTTGTGCCAGATTTCTGTGACATTCTCCTTCAAAGAAAAAACAACCTGCTCCTCCTCCAATGGATTTAGAGCAAAGCTTTTTCCTTTCATTTTTACCTTAAACATATCTTGACTAGCTGCATCTTTAATCAAGCAATATTTATCTTCAAAAACAACTTTAAATCCTTTTTCAATCAGTTGACCAACACTTAATAAGTTCTGGTCAATTTCAGGAACGAGAAAAACATCATGAATGAACTTTGTGCCTGTACAACTTGTGATTGCAATTGTCCCCTTTCCTTTGACTGAGATATGATCACCATTACCTATTCTGACTTTAGTGACATTAGTTGGCCTCAAATCTCTGAAAAGAGCCTTGTTAAAGGTCATGTGGTTGGTACAACTGCTATCTATCAGCCAGCTTTCACTCGATTCACTGCTCAAGAAACAAGTAGCTACAAATAGTTGGTCTTCCTCCTCCTGATCAGCAGGCTTAGCTTCTTCCTCTTGCTGCTGATTTTTGCTCTTGCATATGATTGCTTCATGTCCCATTTGATTGCACTTGTTGCATTTAGCATCAGGTCTTTGCCAGCATTTGAATGGAGCGTGACCCATTTTGCCACAATGCTGACAAGGTGGGTAACTTTTCTTTCCACCTTTTCCTTTATCGTAACTGCTGGCTGGATAATTCTTCTTGTAGTTTTTGGCTTGTTGGCTTTTGACTAGAAGAGCACCTTCAACAGCATGATCTTCCCTCATTAAACTTCGTTGCTCTTGGGCTTGGAAGGCATGTAGCACTTCTGCAAATGTGATTTTAGACAAGTCCCTTGTGTTCTCCAACGAAGCAATAGATGCTTCATACTTTTCTGGCACTGTTACCAGAATTTTCTCAACAATTCTGGAATCAGGAAAATTGCTGCCCAACAACCTTATCTTGTTGGCAATACCTAACAATTTGTCTGAGTATTCTTTGATTTTCTCAGACTCTTTCATCCTTTGCAACTCAAATTCCCTCATTAAATTAAGCACTTGCATGCTTCTTATTCTTTCATCTCCAGCATACTCTTCTTTAGATAGTCCCAAATTTCTTTTGCTGATTTAAGAGTCATAATTCTTGTGAAGATGGTTTGAGAAACACCAGCAAATAGACATGTTTTTGCCTTTGCTTTTCTAGTTTTTCTCTCCTTGTGCATTTTGATCTGGGCCACGGTAGGATTATTCAGCAGCAGAAGAACTTCATACTCTGCTTCTACAGCTTCCCACAGATGAAATTAGGACTTTTTTATATTTTAAAAAAATAAAATTAATATAAGATATTGTAGTAATTTTTTAGGGTTTAGGATTTATGCCTTCATTAGCTTATTTTTTAAAAAAGGAAATATTGTTAAAATACTTGTTAGAATAATTTACATTTATAAATATCGCTAAAAATTATCATATAATATATAACTAAAATAATATATATATACATATATATATATATATATTGTATATGTAATTAGGTAAATATTTTTTTGTGGATTGTAGATTTCCTAATCGATGCCAATTTTTAGCTTCATTTTGAGGTGTAAGATATCATCTACAAGATTTTGCAAGTCAGGGTAATGACCCTGAAAATGAGAAAGAATTGTTCAACACCTCCATTTTTATTTAAGACACAAGTATAACTTGTGTTAGTATGTGTGCACTACATAACTTTCTATGCAAAGAATGTCGTTCTGATGAATTTTCAATTGAAGCGGTAGATGAACCTTCATCTTCAACGTTACCCGTTAATGAATATCATATTTTTGAGCCTATTATTCAAACCCAGGAGCAAGAACGAAAAGACACTAATGCTTGGAGGACTAGTATAGCGGTGGATATGTGGGTGAATGCTATTTAAGAGGATAAGATATTATGGAGAATTATTATTTATCTAGACATTATTGTTTTTTATTATTTTTGTCTTTGACTCTTTTTAAATTTGAATGTATGAAATTTTTTTTGAAATCTTATCCAATGTCAAAAATCCACGAAAATTCTACAAAATCTCACAGAATCCATTAAAATCCTGATTTAAAAGTCTTGCAGAATCCATTAAAATCTTGATTTTAAGTCTTCTAGAATCCTGTAAAATCTTAAAAGTCATGAAAATCCTGCAAAGTCTTTTAAAATCCGTAGGATTTTTTTTAACTAAAAAAGTCCTTTAAAATCCTAATTCAATACACCCCCGTTAGTATATCCCATACTTCTTCAGTATTGTTTCTAGACTTAAATTGATTCTTTCACTTGAAAGGTAGAAATAGTTGCTAAATCATTGCCTAAAAATAACATTACCCTTGGTGATCTCCCATAGGAGAGGCTTGCTGCTATTGAAGAATGCCGTGAACTTGGTCAAGGCTTCCAACTAGCTGAGAAAGACATGGGTATAAGAGGTTTTGGTGCAATTTTTGGTGAACAACAATCAGGAGATGTTGGAAATGTTGGTATTGATCTTTTTTTTGAGATGCTTTTTGAGAGCTTGTCCAAGGTAAACTTTCATTTGTTTCATTCGTGACATGTTTCTTATGTGCAATTGGTCATAGACTCCTAGTTAAAACTGTTAATGAGGAAATCAATTACTGTTACTATTTCCTATTATATATTATGTATTTTAGGAATGGCAATCAATTTATTTATTACATATAATTAGACTTCCTACAAATTAGGAATTAGATTTATTCTATCATAAATAATTGAAAATATCTTTGTACTATTTAATTGGAAGAAGGGAATGAGATAGGCATCAAAGGCCAACTTTTCTGACAAACATATTCTTTGGTTTAATTTGCATGCACCATTTGTTGGCTGAAAAGTGAAAACTTGTAGCATTTTCACTATAGTTCTTGATCACCTGCCTGTTAGTTTTGGACTTATCCCATTCTCTTTTTACTTCCAGGTTGAAGATCACCGTGTTCTTTCAGTTCCTTATCACTCTGTGCAGGTATACTTAGTTATGAAAAATGTACTGCAAAGGATCATTAGCGTAATTAATGCTTTATACATGTTGATCTGAATGCAGACAGAGCTCAGCAAGTCTATCAGACATTGTTTTTCTCCTGCAAAACAGGAAAATATAAAATGCTATTGCATTTAAATATTTTTTTTGAAAACCTAGAAAATGCAGTGTTCTAGTTCACATTTATCCCTTACTTTTTGGATAGTATTAGGTAATCTATCAAGACAAGAGAAAAAACTATCAAATAAATCGTATCCTATGCTATGTATATAGAACATAAACATTGAATGAATTGGACAATCTACCAGGTGTGAACCAACTCTCAAATATAGAACATAAACATTGAATTGTGAATACAAACCCTTCAGAGCCTACCCCAAAATAGTCCTGATAATATTCTTGGTTGTTCAAATTCTGGACATGTCTTTGTTTTTATGTAGGCAAAATCCGCAGCTAGCATTTGTATAAATGCCATATAATAGAGATCTCGCAATTGATGCATTTTCTACTTTATTATTATTTAGGTCGACATAAACATCAATCCTCATCTCCCTTCTGACTACATTAATTATCTGGAGAACCCTATCGAAATAATAAATGGAGCTGAGAGAGTTGCTGAGAAAGACATCTGGAGTCTGATGCAATTTACAGAGAATTTGCGCCGCCACTATGGCAAAGAACCTCACTCCATGGAGATTTTACTAAAGAAGCTTTATGTGCGGAGAATGGCAGCTGATTTGGGGATAACCAGAATTTACACTTCAGGGAAGTTGATATTTATGAAAACAAACATGAATAAGAAGGTATTCAAGATGATGACAGAGTCCATGGCATCAGATTTACATAGAAATTCATTGGTTCTTGAGGGGGACCAAATTAAGGTATTGCATAGATATTATTCATTTCTGAATTCTGTAACTTGGTGTCTTTTATTATCTCTTTGGAATCTGCTTTTGTATTTTGTTCAGTGTTTGCCTCATTATAGAAGTTGGCTGATCTTGAACACATTCCCACATGAAATATTTAATAATATATCGTTAATTTGATCATTTTATTGATAGATTCTTTTATACATAAGATTCCATTTTGTAAGCATTCTATGTTTAGAATTACAAATCACAGTTTTCTTTTGGTCCAACATTAATGCAATAGGACAGAAAATTCATTTATTCTATCTTTTGCGTATTTTTGTTTTAGCGTTAGGGATCCAATGTCATATTGTCATTTAGAAGCAAGATGACTGTCTCTGCCTAATATTTAATAGGCTTTTTTCTGAATGTAAATGGCATTGAGATTTGAGGAGGGAGGATGCATTGCCATGAAAAATATGAGGTTTCCATTTATCTGTAGAAATCATGAAACCAGTATTTTTCTTTTTCTGGGCATTATGAATGCTGGCTTTTGTCCATTAATGTAGTATATTTTTACGAATTACGAATCTTTCCTATCTTTTAGTTTCAATAGATAATTTAGGTTCCATAATATACTGCTGCCAGAAATCATATATTAATGTATCAAGTTAATGATCCTTTTTCTAATGATTTTCATCATGCAGGCTGAACTTCTATTAGAACTTCCAAAAGAACAACTTCTTAATTGGATCTTTCAATGTTTGGCTGAACTTCATGCTTCACTACCCTCCTTCATAAAGTACTAGGCTCTATACCTGGTCAATTCTATCAATATGTAAGTTCGAAACTTGACTTACTGCTTAGATCAAGTATATGTAAATTTTGGTGGATTTAATATGGTGTTTTCTTTCCTTTCAAATTCATTCCTCCTCTTTTTAGTTAAACCAGACGGATGCTTAGTGTGTTGAAAGGCCAGAAACTAACCATGTGAGATGCAAAACAAGATTGTTTTGCTTTATTGACTTGGCTCAGAACACATTGGGACTATCAGTTGATACTAGTGACATGTGCTTCCTTTCAAGATGGATAATCAGAGCCACATTAATGAGGTTAGTTACAAGCACCTTGAAACTGGGTTTATCTAAATTGTACTACTACTGATTTGCATGCCTTATGCAGGGAAGGATCATGTGATATAAGAAGGCTACAGCTATGACCACCTTCAATGCTTGCCTATGACCTAGAGTTCTCTTCCAGTAAACCGTTAATCATAATATCCAGAATTAACCTTTTGTATACGTGACAGAGTAAAGCATTCTGCAACAGTGCAACCACACTTTTCCTCATTTTTCCTCAGCTTTCATTGAAGTTACCCTATATAGAGAAATTCAATGCAAAGATTCAGTGTCTCGGGCTAGCGAAAGAAACTAGAAATCGTGGTGAATGGTGCGTGCATTTTTGCTGCAGATTAGTAAGAAATATACTGTTGTTTATAGAATTATTGTTGTTGCTTTAATGCTGTCATGCGCCTGTTATTTTCCTCATACAAACTTGTATTCTTTATAGAAAGAAATTATTGTAAGTTGTAATCACATGTTTTTCCAATCAGTTCCATTATTTAATTTATATATTGTTGTTTTTAAGGAACGAAGACAGCAGCAAAAAACAGAGATAATAAAATATTGAAGGAGGAAGAGTATATAAGTTGGAATAAAAGAATAAGATCGTAGGAAATCTGTATTATTCGACTGCCAATTGCAATACATTTATAATACTTGCAGTAACAAAAAAACTGACTAAGATAAAACTGAAATGCTTTCTCCTAAAGTTTAGGAACAGTAAAGACTTATTCAATCAACAGAAACAGTAAAGATAAACCAAATAAAGATGCCACGTGCAACAAATAAAGAGGTCACGTGCAGTTCAAAAACAAATATCTAACACTCCTCCTTGATTTTGGAACTGCAAACTCCAATCTTCTGTCTTAAGAACTCGAACTTGTTGACCGGAAGTGGTTTGGTGAACAAATCTGTAACCTGGTCTTCAGTTTTGCAATAAACAAGAACAATAGCTCCATCTTTCTGTACTTCTCTTAAGAAGAACAACTTAATGTTGAAATGCTTGGTTTTTCCATGAAAGACAGGATTATGGGAAATAGCTATTGCAGCTTGGTTGTCAACAAAAACTTTTGTGCTTTCCTTCTACTCCATGTTAAGATCAATTAAAATTTTTCTCAACCACAAGGCTTGGTTAACAGCAGTTGTAGCAGCAACAAACTCAGCTTCTGCTGTAGACTGTGCAACAATTTCTTGTTTCTTCGAGCTCCATGAGAAAACACCCGATCCAAAGCTAAAACAGTACCCAGAGGTACTCTTCATATCATCAATTGAACCACCCCAATCACTATCTGAGAAACCTGTTAACTTAAATTCTTGAGTCCACTTGAACTTGATGCCAAAATTGCAAGTGCCTTTGACATATCTAATCACCCTTTTTGCAGCCTTGAAATGCATTTCACTTGGGCAATGCATAAACTGGGATAAAATGCTTACAGCATTTAAGATGTCAGGCCGAGTTGCTGTAAGATACATCAAACACCCAACCATGCTTCTGAAATATGCTTGATCTATCTTCTCGGTTCCATCTTCCTTGCATAGCTTTTCCTTTTGATTCATTGGGGTGTTCATTTCTTTGCATTCTTCAAGTTTAAACTTCTTCAAAATCTCCTTGGCATATTTCTTTTGACAAATGAAGACTTCATGTTCTCCTTGTTTGATCTCCATGCCAAGAAAGAAGGTCATTAAACCAAGGTCTGTCATCTCAAACACCTCCATCATTTCTTTCTTAAGCTTCTCTACAAGCCTTGTGTTGCTTCCTGTTACAAAGAGGTCATCAACATAGAGTGAGATGATAAGAATGTCGGCTCTGTCATGCTTAACATACAATGTTGATTCAGCTAAGCTTTTGACAAATCCCAAGTTCAGCAAATGATCATCAATTCTACTATACCAGGATCTTGGGGCTTGTTTCAGCCCATAAAGAGTCTTTTTGAGTAAATAAACCTTATCTTCTTCTCCTTCCTTCACAAAGCCTTGGGGTTGTTCAACATATATTTCTTCTTGCAAAAAACCATTTAAAAAAGCTGATTTAACATCAAGTTGATAAACCTTCCAATTCCTTTGAGCAGTTATAGCAAGTAACAGCCTAATGGTGTCTAATCGAGCAACTGGTGCAAACGTATCTGAGTAGTCTACACCAAAAATCTGTGCATAACCTTTCACTACGAGTCTTGCCTTGTGTTTGTTGATAGAACCGTCAGCATTTAATTTAGTTCTATACACCCACTTGACCCCAATTATTTTTCTACCATGAGGTTTTTCCACAAGAATCCAGGTTTAGTTTTTCTCGATCATTGACAACTCCTCCTTCATTGCAGCCCTCCAATTTGGACTTTTCTTTGCTTCTTCATAATCTGCAGGTTCACACACAGAAATATTGCATCTTTCATAAATTTCAGATAGCAATCTGGTACCTCTTACTAGATCATCATCTAGTAATTCATTTTGCCAGCTTTCATCTTCATTCTGTCTTGTGTTTGAGGCTAAAGACTTGAACTTCCCATCTGTAGAAACCAGATTTGTCTTCCTTTTATCATCCCAATTCCATTCTTCATCTTCCAGAAAGTGAACATTGCTGCTAATAATTATTTTCCCGGTTTGCGGCTGAAAGATTTTATAGGCTTTGCTGACTGTACTGTAGCCTATAAAGATACCCGGTGATGCTCTTTTATCCAGCTTATCTCGCTTACTCTGTGGAACATGAGTAAAGCACAAACAACCAAATATTTTAAGAAATTTCATAGATGGTTTGTAACCATGCCAAACCTCAAATGGTGTTTGATCGTTCAATGCTTTGGTGGGAAGTCTATTCTGAAGAAAAGTAGTTGTACTTGCTGCCTCTGCCCAAAATTCTTTTGGTAAATTCTTCTCATATAGCATGCATCTCGTCATCTCCAAGATGTATCGGTTTCTCCTCTCACTAACCCCATTTTGTTGTGGGGTATAGGGAGCGGTTAGTTGATGTTCGATGCTGGAATCCTCACAAAATTGATTGAATTTTTCATATGTGTACTCAGTGCCATTGTCTGACCTCAAAATCTGAATTTTGAAACCAATTTCGTTCTCAACCTTGGCTTTGAACTTCCAAAAGATTCCAGCCACCTCTGATTTGTTCTTGAAGAAAAAAATCCAACACATTCTAGTAAAGTCATCAATGAAGAGAACATAATAAAGATTACCTTTCAATGAAGGTGTTCTTTGCGGCCTTGCAACATCTGTGTGAATTAATTGCAGCTTCCTTGATGCTCTCCATGCTGTTTTTGAAAAAGGTTTTCTGTTTTGCTTGCCAAATTGACAAGCTTTGCAGTTTGAAGTTTGATCCTCAAGCACCGGAATATCAAGTGCTAGCCCTTTTTCACTCATTTGCAGTAGTCCTTGATGATGATAGTGCCCGAGTCTCTTGTGCCAGATTTCTGTGACATTCTCCTTCAAAGAAAAAACAACCTGCTCCTCCTCCAATGGATTTAGAGCAAAGCTTTTTCCTTTCATTTTTACCTTAAACATATCTTGACTAGCTGCATCTTTAATCAAGCAATATTTATCTTCAAAAACAACTTTAAATCCTTTTTCAATCAGTTGACCAACACTTAATAAGTTCTGGTCAATTTCAGGAACGAGAAAAACATCATGAATGAACTTTGTGCCTGTACAACTTGTGATTGCAATTGTCCCCTTTCCTTTGACTGAGATATGATCACCATTACCTATTCTGACTTTAGTGACATTAGTTGGCCTCAAATCTCTGAAAAGAGCCTTGTTAAAGGTCATGTGGTTGGTACAACTGCTATCTATCAGCCAGCTTTCACTCGATTCACTGCTCAAGAAACAAGTAGCTACAAATAGTTGGTCTTCCTCCTCCTGATCAGCAGGCTTAGCTTCTTCCTCTTGCTGCTGATTTTTGCTCTTGCATATGATTGCTTCATGTCCCATTTGATTGCACTTGTTGCATTTAGCATCAGGTCTTTGCCAGCATTTGAATGGAGCGTGACCCATTTTGCCACAATGCTGACAAGGTGGGTAACTTTTCTTTCCACCTTTTCCTTTATCGTAACTGCTGGCTGGATAATTCTTCTTGTAGTTTTTGGCTTGTTGGCTTTTGACTAGAAGAGCACCTTCAACAGCATGATCTTCCCTCATTAAACTTCGTTGCTCTTGGGCTTGGAAGGCATGTAGCACTTCTGCAAATGTGATTTTAGACAAGTCCCTTGTGTTCTCCAACGAAGCAATAGATGCTTCATACTTTTCTGGCACTGTTACCAGAATTTTCTCAACAATTCTGGAATCAGGAAAATTGCTGCCCAACAACCTTATCTTGTTGGCAATACCTAACAATTTGTCTGAGTATTCTTTGATTTTCTCAGACTCTTTCATCCTTTGCAACTCAAATTCCCTCATTAAATTAAGCACTTGCATGCTTCTTATTCTTTCATCTCCAGCATACTCTTCTTTAGATAGTCCCAAATTTCTTTTGCTGATTTAAGAGTCATAATTCTTGTGAAGATGGTTTGAGAAACACCAGCAAATAGACATGTTTTTGCCTTTGCTTTTCTAGTTTTTCTCTCCTTGTGCATTTTGATCTGGGCCACGGTAGGATTATTCAGCAGCAGAAGAACTTCATACTCTGCTTCTACAGCTTCCCAAAGATCTAGAGCCTCCAGGTAAGCCTCCATTTTGACAGCCCAGCGATCGTAGTTGTCTCCATCAAAGACTGGAGGTGCAACTTGTGAGAAATTTGATTCGGCATCCATTTTCACAGGTCCGTAAGAAAAGGGCTCTGATACCAATTGTTGTTTTTAAGGAACGAAGTCAGCAGCAAAAAACAGAGATAATAAAATATTGAAGGAGGAAGAGTATATAAGTTGGAATGAAAAAATAAGATCGTAGGAAATCTGTATTATTCGACTGCCAATTGCAATACATTTATAATACTTGCAGTAACAAAAAAACTGACTAAGATAAAACTGAAATGCTTTCTCCTAAAGTTTAGGAACAGTAAATACTTATTCAATCAACAGAAACAGTAAAGATAAACCAAATAAAGATGTCACGTGCAACAAATAAAGAGGTCACGTGCAGTTCAAAAACAAATATCTAACATATATTAAATAATTAGCACCGTATTTGACATCTTATATAATTATCTCTATCACTTTTTATCTTTCCCATATACACGTATCTCCAAAGTACATCCTCAAAATCAAAGGGGACAGAAAAAATTATCATAGTTTGTGACAAAGAACATGGAAATCATTTGAGGAAGCATTTCAAGCTTGTTGGCTATAGCCCTATGTGTTAATGAGTAGCAGTGCTAAATGAATGCACATTGAGCTCAGCTCACATAACTTAGTAACTTAAATTTTAGCAGTCTCATTTAGTCTCTTAATCTATTGCTTCTTACTAAAGACTCGTAAAGTGCTTATGAAGTGTGCGAAAAGGAAAAATAGGAACAAGAAACAAGTAACATGAAAACACTGAGCATGTTGTGTATTGCATTTTTGATCTTCCTTTGC